ATTGGTCAATAAGTAAACACACTTGCTCTAAGCCTGCACTACCACTGTTTCATTCCACGTTTGGCATTTGTTATTTCTAATACACAACAGAAATGGTAACACTAACAATCTCACACCAACAAGAAAGAAAAGGTCACATTTATAGCTTCAAATCTGGAACCCTGTATTTCTAATAGTGGGGGATCACTATTCTCCTGAAAACCACATGAGAAAAAAATCAAGAGGTTTGATTGATTTGATGCTGGGATTTTTGGAGCCAATCTGAAAATCCTCTTAAGGTCCGCTGGGCAGCAAGCCATTAAAAAGAGCAGCGTTCTGCTGAGACCAGGGCAGTGAAGTGAGCCATATGAAGAGAAAAAAGAGAGATGGAAACACAGAGCAACCAGGGCTCAATCAGCTCCTGGAGGAACCTTCAGAGAAACCTTTCATCACTGCTACAGCACAGGTCCTGTCCTTTTATATCCTTTCATTTCCACATTTCCAACACAGATTGACAGCACTGCTCTAGGAATCTCAATATTTCATTTTATCAATAACCCTGTCTCAAATAAAAAAACAGTAAGTCTGAATCTGGTTCTCACCACATATCAAACAACCTGTTGAAGAAGTTTCTTTCTTTTCTTCTTTTTATTTGACAAAAAATAAGGGTAAAAAATACTTTAAAAAACTAATTATTAACATACAATCACCGGCCACTTTATTAGGGACACCTTACTAGTACTGGGATGGTCCATCTTTTGCCAAATTCTGCCAATTCAAACCAGTCTGGCCATTCTCCTCTGACCTCTGTCATCAACAAGGCATTTGTGCCCACAAAACTGCCACTTACTGGAAATTTTCTCTTTTTTGAATCATTCTCTACAAACACTAGAGATGGTTGTGCGTAAAAAATCCCAGTAGATCAGCAGTTTCTGAAATATTCAGACCAGCCCATCTGGCACCAACAACCATGCCACGTTCAAAGTCACTTAAATATTCTTTCTTTCCCATTCAGAAGCGTGGTTTGAACTGCAGAAGATCATCTTGACTATGTCTACATGCCTAAATGTATTGAGTTGCAGCCAAATGATTGGCTGATTAGAAATTTGCGTTTACGAGCAGTTGGACAGGTGTACCTAATAAAGTGGCCGGTGAGTGTATACAGTATATAATATAATATAATATAATATAATATAATATAATATAATATAATATAATATAATATAATATAATATAATATAATATAATATATTAATTGTTTAGTAATAAAAAATACACTGAATGATAATTGTTAATGATAACACTATAAAGTTTTTAAAACAAAACTTATTTGCATTGTAGTTTTTGATGTGAAGTTCAGATTATAATACTCCTAGGAACATGTACACTATAACACTACATTAAAAAAATGAACACAAATACAATCACAAATAACCATTGAAACATGCTGTAAAATCCATCAACGTACTATTCTGCTTAAGAGCCAGATTTTAGATTTTGAACTAAAACTAATCACATTTGGAATAATTTTAATATTCAATGCCCCAGCATATTTAAAAGAGCAAAGTACATTTCCAAGCTCAACATTCACCATTTGAAAGACGATTAGTTTAACATTCGAGTCTCATTAAACATTGGATGTGTCTAGTAATTCAGAACTAAAAATATTCCATGTGATGTGCAGAAAGCTACACAGTTTCACTTCCACTAGCAAAACTAGACGTGTTGAGACAGCCCGTATGCTTAATATTTAATGGCTGGGCAAAGTAAACCTGGGCAAGAGGGAATGGTGGGTGATACTGTTGGCAGAGACTGTACTGTATATTAGAGTAGTATTCTCACTTTTTCAAGAGAACATGTGGATGTAATTTAAACAACTGGGCAGTAGCCAGTCTGAAGCAGTGGCCAGTTAGAGCTTAGATGTGCCCAAGGTTACTATACTGATGCTGGGGCCAGTTGCTTTCATTAGACATGACAGATGGTGTTAGACTGTGGCCATATTGGAGACAATTTTAGATGAATAATTGCATAAATATTATGTGCAAATACATATTTAAATCAATATAATCCAACCCATATTTTGCAGAATCTCTGGTACATGGTAACTATGCCAAATGATAGACAATGCCTGGATCTCACTAAATAACTGTGATTTGGCTAAGTTTGACTACTGTATAAATATATGCTCATACACATATGAAATATCAGTGCTCTCTGCTCAGCATAAATGAGTCCACCCCGTTTTTAATACCAACTTTTTGGCCTTAACTCTAAGCAGTATGTGTGGAGAAAACCATCCACTTCTCATCACCTATAAAATAACGAAGAAGTAGCTTCACAACAACTCAGTAACTGTTCTTGAATGGTCCAGCCTAAGCCCTGACTTAAACCCAATTGAGCATCTCTGGAGAGACACAAAAATTGCCTGTCCACCAAGGTTTTCCATCCAACCTTACAAAACTAGAGAGGAGGATTGGGCAGAGGATCTTCAAATCCAGACGTGAAAAACTTGTTGCATCTTTCCCCAAAAGACTCATGGCTGCATTAGATCAAAAAGTTGCTTATACTAAATACTGGGCAAAGGATCTGAATGCTTAGGACCATGTGATAATTCAGTTTTTATTTTTTAATAAATCTGCAAAAATGATAACAATTGTTTTCTGTCAATATGGGGTGCTGTGTGTACATTAATGAGGAAACAATTGTTTGCTTGAATGATTTTAGCAAATGGCTGCACTCTTAAAAAAAGAGTGAGAAATTGAAGGGGGTCTGAATACTTTCCATACCCACTCCACTGTAGGTTAATTAAGCAGGTCATTGGACAACTGTGTTTATTTCTGTAGCTAAAAAAAAAAAAAAATGTATATATATATATATATATATATATATATATATATATATATATATATATATATATATATATATATATATATATATATATATATATATATATATATATATATATATATATATATATATATATATATGTATATATATATATATAATTTAAAAAAAAAAATAAATATATATATATATATATATATATTATATATAGGGCGAGGCAGTGGATCGCTGGTTCGAACCTCGGCTCGGTGTTTCTGTGTGCATGTTCTCCCTGTCTTCGCGTGGGTTTCCTCCGGGTGCTCCGGTTTCCCCCACAGTCCAAAGACATGCGGTACAGGTGAATTGGGTAGGCTAAATTGTCCGTAGTGTGTGTGTGTGTGCGTGTTTGTGTGAATTTGTGTATGGATGTTTCCCAGAGATGGGTTGCGGCTGGAAGGGTATCCGCTGCGTATAAAACTTGCTGGATAAGTTGGTGATTCATTCCGCTGTGGCGACCCCGTATTAATAAAGGGACTAAGCCGACAAGAAAATGGATGAATGAATGAATATATATATATATATATATTAATTATATATATAATAGAAATAATAGAAAACATGAGAAATAAGTGTGGGTCAATTAACTAATTGGTGCTAATATTGGCTGACTTATATTCTGGTCAAAATAGTTACTTTGTTTAGCAGACAGTTGAGCATCTCTGAACATTACTCCACAGTGACATGATGGATTAGTGTTTCAGATCGAATCAGTTGAATGAATGAATGAATGAATGATTCAATAACTCACATGTTTTGTTCCCAAATAAATTAGCTTTTTTCTATAAATTAACTATTTAATGGTGCACTCATTACATCATGTACTGCAAAAAAGTCTAATCAAATTAGAGGACAAGGACTGAAATTAATTTATAGGACTCCTAAAATACCTTTTGTATTAACTATGAGTTTACCTTAGGTTAAGGAAAAAAAAGCAATGACCTTTGATAAAACAGGACATATGAGATTAATGCTGTCTAGATCAAATCAATGTCACCACGCACCGTTCTCTCTCCACAGCCATTTAATTTACCCTTGGTCTGTTTTCTTCTCTTTCATTTAGAGGACAGCATGTGGGAGATTAAGAGAGAGGTTCATTTTTAACTCAAACTGATACTGTAATTCACAAGAACAAACATAAAAAGGTACGTTTGTTCAGACTTGACACAAGACATGAAGAGAATGTTTTAAATCAGAGACTGAAATAAAATCTCATCAGTTCTGCAGAGCTGTGCTGTTCGCAGAGACAGAGAAATTGCTCTGTCCCTCTGAAAAGGTGCATTTTGCATGGCTTATTTTTTTTCACGTGTCTACCTGGTTTGAAATGTCATTTGCACCTGTATTGAAAAGCCCAAATTCAAGATATTTTAATAGAAAGTCTTTTTCAAAGTCTTTTTTAACACATGAAGAGGTTGCAGATCATTCTCAATACTCATTCATTCATTTTCCTTCAGCTTAGTATCTTATTTTATCAGGGGTCACCACAGCGGAATGAACCGCCAACTATTTCAGCATATGTTTTACACAGCAGATGCCCTTCCAGCCAAAACCCAGTACTGGAAAACACCCATACACACTCAATCCTACACTACAGCCAATATATTTTACACAATTCACTTATAGAGCATGTCTTTAGACTGTGAAGAAAACTGGAGCACTTGGAGGAAACCCCCGCTAACATGGGGAGAACACACAAACTCTGCATAGAAATGCCAACTGGCCCAGATGGAACTCGAACCAGCAATCTTCTTGCTGTGAGGCAATAGTGCTACTAACCACTGAGCCACTGGGTCACCCCTTCATTCTCAATGTAAAGAACTTACTTAATAATGATCCTTGTGTATGTGACACTGTGAAAATACGTTTTTGACATGTGAAAACAAATAAAATGTTTCCAATTTAGGCTAAAAAAACAAGGCTAGTATCTGTTAGACAGATAGCACTTACCTATGTGTTAGCTGCCACACTTCACAGTACTTTTTTTTCTCTATAATTGTTGATTTTCATTTCATTAAAAGTATGTGGCTTAATAAAAAATTGTTTGGAGACAAATCTATATAACTTTGATGCTCAGTTCAATATTAGCTTACAAAGCATCTCTTGATACAGTTATGATGATAGCTTGTAAATATGAGACTCACCAATGTCCCATGAACCAGGGCTGTTGTTCTCTATCTCGCTGCGGCCAATGATGTACCAGACACAGGCCATCCAATGTGCCAGCAAGGCAAACATGGACATGAGTAATGTGAGCACTACTGCACTGTATTGGGAGTAGCGCTCCAGCTTTTGTAGCAAGCGTAGAAGCCGTAACAATCGGACCGTCTTCAACAGATGAACCCCGAAGTACTAAACAGAGATTGAATATATCAAAAAGAACACATAAAATAAATAAGTATTTAAAATGACCATGCCAACAGTATATGAAATGTGTTGTACCACAAAGCTCTGTGAAAGGCCTGATAAAATTGCTTTAAAAAGCAAAACTAATATATACACTACCTGACAAAAGTCTTGTTGCCTATGCAAGTTTTAGAAACAGCAAATAATTACTTGACTTCAAGCTGGTTATTTGGTATCAGAAGTGGCTTACATGAAAGGCAAAGGCCTCTAGATTACGCTTATTTTACCAAAATAAAATATGATCATGCCTTTATTTTTTAATTATTTATAATTAGGACACAAAGTTCTGACTTTGCCTAGACAAAAGTCTTGTAACTTAACAGAAGTAATGTACAGTACAGAATACAAATGTCTTGATACCTCAGGCTGTTGATTTTGCCATCCATAGTGCAGATCTCTCATGTGCCCCCATACATATGTAACCCCAAACCATGTTTTTCCTTCACCAAACTTGACTGATTTCTGTGAAAATCTTGGTTCCATGCGGGTTCTTGTATGTCTTCTGCTGTATTTGTGATGATTGGGATGCAGTTGTTGATTCATCAGAGAAATCTACATGTACCTTCTGCCACTTTTCCAAATGATCAACTAGTAGTCAAGTTATAATTTGTTGCTCTTACAACGGGGATCCACATCATGACTTTTGCCAGGTAGTATAGGTAATAAAGATGGATCAGTTGGCACAAAAGTAACCAAAAAATAAGTTGATTAAACACTTACCACACTGACATTGAAGGCATACAACAGGTCAAATGGCAGCGCAGCAATCAGGTCCACAAAGAGCCAGGTGGTGACGTAATGCACACATATAGAGCGAGCATCATATACCACCTGGCCTGATGTGCTCACAAATGTGGTGCGGAAGTTTAGTACAATATCTGTAACAAAGAAAGAAAAAAAATAAATTACAGAAGACACTGACATTCAGTAATTATAGCAAAGAAAACTGTATTTGATTTAATATATGATTCAAATGTTCAGTTTGGGCTGAGATCTAGTGGCTATAATGCTATTCAATGAAAGTTGTAACAACAGCAATATAATTTAAATGATAAGTTCAGTTTAGTAAAGGACTTTGGACACTTTTCAAACCAACACAGCTAAAAGCAATGTTTTATGTTGGAGATTTTTCTTTTTTTATGCAAATGTTTTAATGATCTAGAATTGCTTTGCATTATGAATCTGTGTAATGAACAGAAAACGATTCTGTCATTAAACACTAACAGCTTTTATGCAGTGCTAAAAAGCTTAATTGCACATAGCAGACTTGTAAAACAATGGTAATGTTTTGAAAATTTGATGTTTTCTCTAATGAATATGTTTATATGAATATCTACTGTATATTTATATACAGTATAAACTGCTACAGATAGAAATCTAACTTAGTAAATCAGTTTAACAGTGGGTCTTCAGAGTTATATCAGAATTCAACAGCAATGTCCTTCAGAATCTCTTCATTTTGCTTTCAAGTTTCTAAGAAATGCTTTAGAATGGCTACAGTAGGTGTGTTTTTTTATGATGTTGGCTTAGCAACATCTAGAACTTTTTACAATCTCTGAGTAACTAAAAGATGTCTGGCAATATGACACAAAACACTGACTCAGAAATATGAGTGCAAACCTGAACAATAACAGATTTGTTTGGCATCTGGGCGATTTAATAACACAATATGGTTTTAAAAAACATTTTAATGATGGTAATGATTGTACAAAAAGACTAGGACTGTAGTTTGTTCATTACCTAACATGAAAAGAATTTCCACCAGAATGTCGCTCACACTCGGTGGACTTCTAGGGGTTGATGCTTCATCTCGCCCTCCAACGACGGTGAAACAGACATTGTAGGGCACAGTAACTGCTACATAAAAGGTTGCTAACAGGATGAGCCAATCCCAGCCTGCTTTGAAGGTGCCGTAATGGAGAAGAATGAAACGGCTTTTCTGAATGGCTGCCACTTTGTACTCTGGTATGGGCGGCTTCTCGCCAAACATGTTCTAAATCAAAAACAATGTTCAGAAATGATTAATTGGATTTTAGTTGCATCTATAATTCGACATTTTGACAGAAACTGTGTTATGTGTGCTGCTCAGTCATGACAAATGAATTAATCCAAATATTTTGTAAAGAAGAAGCAATAATTGGCCTGAAATGTCACATGGATTCTTCCCTTAGAACTGAATACAGCATTGCTATCTATTGATTGTATCTTTACAAGGGCATTTGGTTACATTTATTTTGATGGTCTTCTTTATAGATTTTGTTTTTGTACAGATAATATTCAAAAAGGTCTGTTAGGATGCTGGGTTTCATATTAAAATTATCTTTGACTTTATAGTGCTACTATTGTGCTGAAGAGTAGAGCCTTTATTTAAGTCAAGGATGGGCCAAAGAACATTGATGTTATGCTAAATGTTCCTCCATTTTATAGCTGTTAAATCAATGATGTCTATTTGGCAGCTACTTTGATTTTTGCATGTGTGCTACTAATGAATAAATGAAGTTAATTGATAATTTAGTTAGGGTTAGGAATCATTTAATTTATATTAGTAGACTGTGTTTGACAAGGGTTTGTAGATTAATAAATGTAAATAACAAAAACATGCATATTGCTGCCCAATAAATGCACCTCATTAAATGTCCCAACACTCTTTTGTCAGTCTAACACATTTTTATTTTGGTAACATTTTAGTTTAGGTCACAACTCTCAATCTCAATATTAACAAACCATAACCTAGCATTACTAAATAGTAAAAAATACTGGATTTCAATGCATTTGTGTTGGAACAAAATTAAGGAGTTAAGTTAACTTATTAGTTTTTACAAATGTATGTAGATTGAACATAAAACAATAAAGTTGTCCCAAAAAAAAAAAAAAACAAGAATTGTGTTGTTTCAGCTCAATTTAAATACATGCAGTAATTTGAACAAAAAGCAAATGTCAAATTTTGAATTTAGTTTAATAAACTAGTAAATAACTGTTTATTAATAGTATAGTATAATTTGGGTTTGGGTTTTGGGTAGGATTAGGGATGTAGAATAAGATCATACTTTATAACTACTAATGAAAAGATAAGATCTTAATAATAATAGCCAGTAGTTAATAGAATAAATTGTAACCTAAACTAAAGTGTTACCGTCATTTTTAATAAAGCATTGAGATAAATGTCTAAGTTCATCAGATTATTAAGTACTCAAATAATTCCAATTTGCAAAGTTTAGTTACCAACAGACAACCTACAGATAAACAAATTATGTTATTGATAGTAAGTTGTTTCAACTGAAAAATCATTAACTACTTTGCTTGCTTTATAGGCAATTAATTTCCACAGGTTTTCTAAGTTAACTCAACCTATCATATTTTTCAAGTGTTAGTAACTATATACCTGCCGTTAATTGCATAACTGGTTAATTGGTTAGTATAATAAGTTAGTTATAGTCAACAGAATGGCAAAACAAAGCATTAGGAATGATGAGTTGACATACTTTTTAAGTTATTCTAAAAACAATGTTGGGTTGTAAATTATGGACAAACTTAACCCAAAAGTATCATTTCAAAAACAACCATGGTTGGGTTTGTCTATATTTTATCCACATTGATGTGGAAATCCAAGCATCTTTTAAAAAGTACTCAATATAATGTCTGAAGGGAACCATCAAAATGCTAGGGGTCATTTATTGTTTTATACACAGTAATATTTCTTAAACTAATCTTAGATTTATATAAAATCATAGAGCATTTACTGGAAAACATGTTGCTTATAGCAAAATAACTGTTTAAGTGTTTCTTACATTATTGATCTTGAGTTTGCTCTTGTCTTGTTTCTGCAAGTGTCCAGACAGCTGGTAAAGCACAGCTCTACTGCGCCGCCGGTTGGCATTGAAGCCCGGTGGCCGTGTGACCTTGTGCACCTCCAACCCCGTCTCCTCGTCTGCACAGAGCACATCCATAAATCATGTTAGTCCATTTCATTTTTAATTTCTGAGTTGTTTAACCCAACAAAATACCACACAAATAACATTAAGTTAGCCCATTCCCAATAAACCAAAAAAAGTAACTTTCTGTAAATCAGTAGAACATGAATGCAAATTTGCAGGATTTCTACACTGGGATTATTAGAAATGTCTCGTCCATAAACCTCTGAACAAACACAACTTGACACTGAAATCATGATTACATTTACCCATTAGCACATGCTGCCTGCTCAATACAAATTACATTTGCATTCATTAGTTTATCAAGGGTCTGTAAATATGACAGAAGAGAATTGCATCCAGTGGAAGAACAGCAGAACAATTGAACAATTGTGCGCACAGCTAGATTACACTGTGGGAAATAAACAGCCAAATTTATAATAGACAATTAAAGCCTTTGGAAGCTCTTAAAAAGGAAAAAGATGATAATTCTGATTGTAATTCAATGGTATTCTCTGTTTGCGCTTGTTCTCCTTTTCTCTGTGAAGGCTATTAGTCTCTCATTATGCAACCCAAGCTCATTATTGATGCGTACCACTGTATACGTTTCTGAAGAGTACAAATTACATCCCAGGAGGTAGGTTTTTTTTGTTGCAGTGTTTGTTTTTTACGAATCCACCAGAGGCTGCTATATACGCTTTTGCAGATCTCACAATTTTCTCATGAGTGCCATTTGCACGTGCTGTTTTTGTGCAAATCCACCAGAGGCCGCTGTTGAATGACTGACTGACTGACTGACTGATCCCCCTCACCCACCCCCTTTCCTTAAACCAAATGAATAGTGTTTTCAAAAGCACAGATTAACCCACCCACCCATCCCCTTCCATAAACCCAACCAACAGTGTTACATAAGGCAATGCAGAAAAAGAAAAGCCCTCTGAGCTGCCTAATCTTTCCTATGTTTCAGATTTTACCATGTTTCACCCATTTATTTACTTGTTTATTTTTTTTCAAATAGAAATTGTCGCTGTCGGACTAAACTCCTCTCTGCGTCTCAAGTCCACCAACGTACTTGGCAAGCTAATGGGCAAACTTTTACCACGGAATAGCCGTCCACACAGAGGTAAGTGGTCTGCTGGTAGCATGATAGCGTGGTAGTCGGTACCCTCAACTGCCCCCGGAGTGTTTGTTTCTTAAGACGAAATGTAGCCATACGTATCTCTGGCTACATAATTTGCACTATCCAGAAATGTATAAATGGGTACATTTTTACAATGAGCCTGTGTTGCCATTATACTGTATCTACAGCACCAGGAATGTTCAGACAGTGAGAGGGGGCCTAATTTTAATGCATAATGACCAGCATTTGATTTAAAGCGATAGTTAACCACCCAAATAATTAATTTTATTCCATTTACTATACCTACATAAATTTCTTTTATAAAATCCCAGATCTACAGGAAAAATCCAACAATTTTCAGAAATTAATAGTGTACAGTGCAACATTTTTGTTTTGCATTGTAATTTAGTAATATTATAAATACTACTAAAACTGATCATTTAATTATTCCTTAAAAAGATGACCAAAAATGAAAATTTACTCAATATTTATTTACACTCCCTCAAGTGGTTCACTCAAAAAATATATATATTTTGCTGCTCGTTTAAACTACTTAATTAAAATGAGCTTAATCAACACAATTCTTGATAATTCATTGGGACAACTTAATTGTTGTATGCTCAATCCATATACATTTGTTAAAAGTGTTAAGTTAACTTACTTAATTTGTGTTGGGACAACATGAATAAATTGTGTGGAACATTGCATTTCTTACCCGTTTACATTTCCTTCTATTGGTAAACACAAAAGAAGACATTCTGGGAAATGTTATAAACTAAACTGAAACTGATTTAAACAAGCAAATTAAATGTAGCAATGTTCAACTTAATTTGTTTGTTTAAATTAAACCCAAATGAATTGTTTACAACCACTTTACATACATATTTTTTTGTAAATCCAAGGAATCATCTTTGAATATTTTTTCTTTCAGTGTGGTAACCTGTGACATCCATAGTAGGAAAAACAAATACTATGAAAGTCAATGGTTACATGTTTCCAACATTATTTAAAATATATATTTTTTGTACAACAGAAGAATTAAACTCAAACAGGTTTGCAAGAGTGAGGGCTTGGTTGTAAAAAACGAGAGAATTTTCAGTTTTGGGTGACCTGTCTCTTAAAAATTACTTATTTAATGTTATATCGTTCCACTGTATTGTTTTTTTTTACTACCTTTTATAACTGCTGAAACGTACACTCTGGTTTCACCTTCATTATCTGATAATGTACAGTTGAAATCAGAGTTATTAAACCCCCTTTGATTTTTTTTTTCTTATTTAAATATTTCCCAAATGATGTCTAACAGAACAAGAATATTTTCACAGTATGTCTGATAATATTTTTTTCTTCTGGAGAAAGTCTTATTTGTTTCATTTTGGCTAGAATAAAAACAGTTTTTAATTAAAAAAAATTAAGGACAAAATTCTTAGCCCCATTAAGCTATATATTTTTTCGATAGCCTACAGGCTAATAATTCAGGGGATTTATTTAGGGAAATTCTGGCTTCAACTGTAGGTGTTGCAGCTAATATTAATTTATATTGACATCTGACAAGGTTGCTTTTTAACTAATGAGAGATTTCACCAGCTGTCTGGGCTTTCTATTTGTATTTACATCTCACTTTCTTCATGTATTCAACACTTTTTCCCAGTGTCATTTCATTTTTATGTAAGATAATGTGTTTGGCTTTTTTCAACCATGGCTCTTGGTGACACATAAATGCAAGTCAAACATATACAAACATATGCAAGCAAAACTAAATTAATACCCATCACTCCTAATGATATATTGAGGCTATATGATTATATCTAATAACATTATTTACAACATTATTACTCATGAACCCAGACTACAATGGATGAGATGAGGAGGACTGTTTGCAGAGGCTGTGAATTAAAGGTTATAATGCTGTAAAAATATGTTCAGAATCATATTGCCAGGAGCTATGAGTTTATGTTATTTTGATTCTCAAAGTGGCCATTGATGTTGACATTTTATGAATCACCAAGGAAGAAATAAGTCACCTACATCTTGGATAACCCGAGGGTTAGTAAATAAATGTTTCTTTTTAGGTGAACTATGCCTTTTATGAAAATTAAATACGGGAAACCATGACAGAAAATGCCCTTTCTTTTCATTTCCGAACTAGCATGTTAATTCCCATCAGCTGAAGTGTTGATTTTAATTGAAGTCTTCAGTTTACAACATTAATTTGAAGAGAGCCATCTGTCAACTTCTTGCATCTTAATGTCTAACAAACCTACCAATTTACTTCAACTTACATCCAAATCCCAATTCCATCCCTCTATATTACATTTACTGGCTTTTGTCCCTTCATTACATAACTCCAACCACGCTTTATTTGGCTTAAACAGCATAATTAGGAAGGCAACTCTCGCTCTATCTTAACCGATTCCAAATATCCACTTTTAATGAGTTGACATTATTCACCAGCTATAAATTATTCCTAGTCCAATGTTCATCCCTCAGCCAAATGAACAGTACCATGCATTGGCTGGAGCTCAGGCCACTAAAGGGAGCTTCACACCTCTGTGCCAAGCTTTCCTCATCTCTCTGTTTATCAGTCTACCGTTCTCTATCTCTCTGGGGAAGAGAAGTGTCAGGATTACTGTAACAGCGAGCACCGCAGGAGATGCTGCTGGCCTGTATATCGAAGCATCCGAAAAATCAGGATTCTGGAGCCAAGAACGAGAGAGAAAGAGAAAAAGAGCTTGCGAAGTATGACATTCACAGCACAGGTGTTGGAGGTGTATGTGCGCATATGAATATTAGTGGAATTAAGCCGAGATAGGCATAATCATCTTGTAATACGCTTTGTAGAGCATCCCATACGAGGCTGAAAGTGGTGCTGTGTGCATAAAAGGATAATTTACCCTTTTGAAGTCATTCTCTCTTTGTTATTGAGCACTTTGCTTCTGTACTTTTACTGTATACACACAGAGGCTTTTTACACATTATGACTTTCTCGCTTTTCTCTCTTTTCCTCATTGTTTTCTTTGTTCTACACAAAACAGTACAATTGTGTTCGCATTGTGCATTTTGAAAGGTTGGCCTCATTACAGAAGGTATCCGAGAGACTGGGTCAACAAGCAAATGCTGTGTGTTGGTTTTGAGCTCTTTAAACCACCTGTGCTGTACATTAAAGCTTTAATGAGGAACTACGAGGTAAAATACAATTTTTTTTTTTTTTTTGATAATAGCTGTTCACTGTTATAGTTTTTAATTAGTGAATATAAGCATCACAGCAAAGTATAATATTTATTTTAAGTTTTTATTTCACAATATTGTTTAAAAATTGTACAATTAAAATGTAAATTTAATTGGACATTAATCACTTGAACTCATCTTTATTTCTATAGTCTTTTTTTATCAGACAACACATAAAAATACCATGCACTATTATAATATAATACTCCAACAAAAAGTACTGTTAAACTGTTATCAACATCTCATTTTGAAAGTCATGTTAATTTAATTTAACATGTCAGTATTAATATGTATTAAGCCAGTGTGTAAACTATTAAATTAAAGTAATTTAAAGTAAATTCACCTAAAATTGACAGTTTCAAGAAAACAAGTATGGTTAATATATTAAACAATAAGTCTGTAAAATAAACTATTAAAAGTGCTGATAATTACCAGTATATGATTTTAAGTGTTGTATTGTTGTCTTTCATGTTGTATTTTAGCTTTAATGCGCTTTTTAAATGAATAAATAAAAAATAAAGCAGCTGCTTGCCATTGCCACAGCAATAAGATTCAATGGACTGTCGACCGCTTTCACTCCAGAATGGCGGAATCGCTGGGTGCTGCTGTTGCATAGGGACGTTCTATTGAGTGTCGTTTCTTGGTGATTCTAAACTTTTTGACTGTATTGAGTTGCTCACCTCTTTCTGGGCTCTGCTCTTCATCTTGGTCTTTCTTGTTGTCTGTAATGTCCTTGTGTGACACTAGAAAGAGCACCACCTCTCCCTTCTCATTCTTAATGGGCACGATATCCAGAAGACACCAGAACTGAGTTCCTGCCACAACACAACACAGCATCTGAGAGTTAACATTCAACATGAACATTCAATATTGACACACATTTATTGACAGGCATTTACAGGTAGACCAGACTTTATGTTTAACGTGTTTAAGCTTTCCTGCTTATTTCTCTTAGTTTAAATCAGATTTAGTTTTGTCAGTGGTTGTCTCAGTTGGCTGTAATGGCTTCATTTCCCATAAGACTCACTGTGTACCTTGAGTAAATGTAGAAATACAGAGAAAAAAAAACAAACATTTTTGCACTTCTTAGACTTGCTAAATATCAAAGGCAGCACAGAAGGACAAATCAAAGTCACTGTCATTTAAAGTGCTTTACTCTGCTGTCTGATAGGAGCACATCATACAAATACATTAGATAATAGCAAGCAAATAAAGAAAATTGATAAAGAAAACTACTCAACAAAGGACACCAACGAGTGGATTTTGTTGTTATGCTCAGCTCTGAGTTTCACGGTTAGGGTTAACACTACAATAGTCAATATGAAGGTCAAATAAATACGTTTAAAACATTCTAAACAATGGTGCATATTGAAAAAAAAAATCCTAAGTATAAACTGTACATTAGAGTTGCACAATATATCGTTTCAGCATTAAAATCACAATGTGCGCATCCACATATTGAGTGTAAATTATACACCAGGAGCTACAGAATTGTATTTAATTACTGTATTTATATGGAATTTATACAATTTATGCAAAATAGATAAATAAATAAATAAATAAAAATAAATAAATATATTTAGTTTCTTGTTTCTAATCCAAATGTCTACTTTTTAAAGTGAAAACAAGATTGTTTGATTTATCCCAGCAGCAAATAACTTAGCTTGTTTTAAAGGGCACCAATTTCAGCCCTTTTTCAAGATGTATAACAAGCTTTTGGTGTCTCCTGTAAAGTTTCAGGTCAACATACCCATCGTATAATTTATTATAGCCTCTAGAATCTGCCTATTTTGTCGTATACTGTAGCTGTTTTTGTATCCTGTGGCTTTAAATCCAACTGAGCTGCTTCTCCCCGCCCACCGTTCCCACATGCATGTCTGCTTCTCATTCATGCATTACATCAGATAAACAGCAGTCAGTGACAGAGCCAGACCCGGATGAAGCTGAAATACAGCTTATTAGTCAAAAATACCCATTAAGTTTATTGTGTGTATTTGTGGTGGAGCTTATTCAAGCCTTTCTGAAAGGATGAATCTCACACAAATGCAGTTTGCATTACACACACACACACACACACACACACACACACACACACACACACACACACATGCACGCAAACACGCACACACACACACACACACACACACACACACACATAAACAGATATGTTAGCATTTACTGACATGACGCAGCTGTGGTGATTATAGCGGTTAAGAATTACACTGCAATTTTACTATCTTTATTACAAACAATGTAATGTTTTTAAAACTTGTAAATCACAGAGAGTTGTAACACATATTTTAATCCCAGTTCATTTGCAAAACAATGTTCTGTCGACGTGTGTACATGTTATTATAGAAACATCGCATCAATTAATCAATTTGCTGGGTGAAAACCACATTACTACGTCAAGTTGTGGTGGACCTCAAAATCACTGGGATTTGGGTATTTTAACATCAGGAAATTTTAAAAAAGAGACTTGTTGGGTTTCTTTCACTCCAATATGACAGTGGACACACTATACATACAGACAGTTCTGTCCAAACAGCTTACATTTTCATCATAGGTGCCCTTTAAGGAAGAACTCCTTATTTTGACTGACTCCTTCTGAAGGTGAAAACAAAACAATATTTTACTTGCTCCAAGAATGTTTTATATTTTAACGAGACAAAGCAACATATGAAAAGTATGTTTTTGCATTATTCAATTTCTGTACCTGAATACTGTTAGACTCCACAGTAAAAACCGTAAAATGAGTTAATGTTGAGAGACTGTATTCATATCTAAATATTTATCACAGAAAAAAACATCATAGTATCAGATTATTCCAATATTGTGCAGCTCTACTGTACATTCTAGATATCATTTTAATGCATAAAGTATAATGTATATTTGATGATACTGCCAAATGTTTTTTTTTAAGAGTTTTTGCTGTATTTTACCTTTATAATAACAAGACAGTAGATATTGACAGGAGGTGAAGTTGTAAAGAGGTTTATTCAATTACTTAACGCTATTGGTACAGTCATACTGTCAAAACACATTTTTAAAAGTATGCATTAAACACAGACTTTTTTTTTGAATGCAAAATTAAACTCTGCATTGTTCTGGCATTTCTCTTTCACCTAAAAAAATCCAGTATTCATACATTAAAAGATGCAGTTTCACTTTTTGTGTTTGCATATGAAACAAAAACGCTTAAACAGTAAATGATATCTTCATAACATGTTCATATACAATTAAGCTTTTTATGCTGAGCGCTCTGATTTGTCTAAGCACTTGTTTTTCCGAGACATTAAATTTGGTCTAATTTTCTGCTTATGACTGTCAGTAACCCATGTGCTGCTTCTCTCTAAGTTTATAAATGTGTTTTTTGACAGGTGAGCAGAACACGTCATGACTGCTGAGCGCAGAATTCCCTCTTGTGTGGTGTGTGTGCATATGCACGTCTGCCGCAGGTTCTCCAACATTGTTCTGCAGCTGCTCAACATTATGCCGCAGCATCATGCCATGCCTCATTAAATCGAGATGGAGGGAAATGGAAAGAAAGGGGTAGAAATGCTTGGTTGGAGGTTGGAGTCCCTAATGATACACATTGGTGTGTCTGCATGTGTGTGTGTGTGTGTGCATTTGTGTGTGTGTGTTTGTGTGTAAATCACCAAGACCTTTCATTAAGCACAGCTTGAGTCAAGAGAAGTAAATTTCAATAAAAAAAAGCCAGAGACCATACACCGTATAATGCAATGAGCAATATATTCAAAACAAACTACTTAATGCCGAAAGCAGCAATATGCAAAGCTATGAATAAAGCATGTGCCACTGACAATAGCTAAATACGATAAATTGATTTGTTCCACACGTGATGAACAGCTGAAATCAACTGCTGTTTGAATGATTAATCAGATGCTAGTTTCACTGCACAATGAATGCGATGATAATTATTGGCCTAAAAGGTCAGATGCAACTCCTGAACCTCATAACAGCTCTTCAATGAATTAAATAAACTTCCATTGTACGCCAAACCAACAGTGTGCATTCATTTTTTTAAGAGAATTAAAATTGCATTACTCTCAGACCCTAGGTGCCTAACATATAATATTAACACAAAAAGTAGAATTTTAAAAATAAATTACAATAAATACAGATACACATATAATATAATCTAAAAATATAAGTAAAAAATGCAAACAATACAATTACATTAAATATACGACATTTATATTCTAGCTTTATATATAGACAAGAAAACAAGATGTGTGATTAAGGATAAACTTGTTTGCAAAATTTTCTATGTATGTTTGGTAGTCATAATGCACTTACTTATGCATGTAACTAGTAAATGCATTGTATGAAGTGTTATTCATAGGTCCTGAAAAGTGGATGAAAGCAAATATATTTCGATCAATCAACCCCCTAACCACCCCCCACCCCACCACCCCACAAAGTCATAAGCCCCGCCCTTTTCCGTTAACAAACCAAAAAACAACTAAAACTTACACTTTAGTTCACTCTGACATATTCAAATGTTTGTTTTTCTAAATATTTTGCTGTATTTCGTTATTTAATGGTACAAAATTGGGGTGTGGGATGACAAAGAAGAAGTGTAAACAAACATAAACTAGCTCTTTAGCAATGCCCAGGACATTGCACTGATAAAAAAAGAGGTTGTTCCCTTAAATCAAGCTGAATCAAATCACCCTTACCATTGCAACTTGCTTTATAGTACACTTGAGTTTCTCAATCCTGGTCCTTGAGCCCCACTGATCTGCATGACTTGGATGTCTCTCTTATTTAACACACCTGATTTAGTTAACAGGCTCATTAGATGTTCTTGACAGGTCCCTAGCCAGTGTGCATTGTTCCCTAGTTCCTTCTCGCTCATTGCGCTCTACCTGAACACGTGAAACCTTTATTTCACTTCGGAACTTTCATTCATGTGTTTGCAACACAACACTGTCTGCAGCATCTTGCTAGAGAAACGTGAAATGTGACATAATATACCTCTGGAAATAAATATAAAATTACGTATCACACAGTAAAATGCCTTTTGAATGAAACATACAGTGTAGGCTTCCTTCAAACTGAAATGGCAGAATGACCCATGGAGTCCAAATAAGAAAAAACATCCGACGTAAAAAAAAAAAAAAAAAATCATACAAAATGTGCAGCGGGGTAGGGCGCAAGGACTGGCATTGACTTAATCTAAAATGTTTTTGGTTGTTTATTTGAAAAATGTTTAACTTTTTTTCATTTCTTAACATAAATCATATTATGATCCTATATATTTTACTCTGTGTTTTAATGCTTCATAAAACGTTATATGTGACCCTGAAGCACAAAATAGCATATTAGTTGGATTAGCCAAAAATAGCCAAAATAAGGGTATACATATGATATATTATATGGGTCAAAATTGTAGATTTTTCTTTAAAAAAAAAATAAATAAATAAAATAAAAAAATATATAAAAGGTCCCATGAAATTTAAATAAAACAATTTTAGATGTTAATTTTAGTCTGTTAGTTTTGAGGACATCTATATGTTGGTGTGCTACAAAACAGTGATACAATCTGCATTTAGGAGATCTAAAATTAATATAAACATTTAAAGCTTGCAGTTTGTCACTTCCGTCTAAATGGATCAATGTTTTTTTTTCACATCACTTCATACTTCAGTTTCTCATTAAATCTTGACCAATCAAATGCTCTCTAACATGTCCCGCTCCCTTCAAGATGCTTCTCATTTGCTTTTTATTTGAACCAACCACTTTCACTGGCAGAACTGTAATAAAAACAAGACGCTATTGGTTACTTTTTGAAATGGGGAGGGGGGGTGCAATTCTAGGTCCCTCTTAATTTTTCAGTTGGAATATGTCAGATATTGAATAAAAATGCACATTTCAAAGTACTTCAGAGGACCTTTAAGTATAGATCATGTCCCGTGAAGTTATTTTGAAAAAAATTTTGATTAGTAAAATGCATTCCTAAGAACATAATTTGGATATCTTTGAAGGCAAATTTTTAAAGTATTTTGAACCTTCTTTCTTATTTTTCTTTATTTGGTACTGTTTTATTTGCTTAAATCAATGCGATCATTGCATGTGCATTTGACAGACTCGTGAGCTCTTCATCTTCCACAGGACTGACAGTGTCTCAATGCAACATGGCAGCTGAGCAACAGAGGGAGTTTACAGCAGTCTTGTAACTATGATCTTCTATTCCCTTTGAACCGTGTACAACCTAAAACTGAACCTGGAGGCCATGAGACGTGTTCAGTGAACGCCACAGCATTTAGAAGTCCTTTGACTTGGTGACAAACTGACAGGAGGCCTGTTGTGACTGATGCACACAGGCAGAATAACAGAGGAAGCATTCGGACTGCTGTTTAGACAATCCACAACCAGCCCTTACCAACTGGATAGAACACACAAATTGCCTATTCTCTTTGATATAACACAACAAACGGCTTCAGAGTATCTCTTACAAACCAGCCAAATGAATGAATCGGACTCTCTGAATTTAGGCATCAGGGGGGCAAATTCCCAATAATGCATGTGGCATGAATGCTAAATTGAAGTGAATCGTTTGAGAAATCGGTTTTCAACGCTGCTGTGTTCGCAAGAAAACATTTAGCTCTTAAGGTCTGCCAAATCCTTCCCAGGCTGATATGGTTTGACACAGAGGTCTAACTCTGTATGTTCGCAGTAATTCACAGTGGTCTCCTGGTACATGGATGAAATTGTGTTCTCTTGACTGCAGGTGGGTAAAAATGTGCATGGCATTAACTATCCAACACGCTGCGCTCTTTCTGTGTATCATGTTCAACATGGAACAAATCAAGGCCTCTGAAATCACTGTCATCTCTGAGCCGTTGTTTATCCCAGGCTGGTTTAAAGGCATATTGTGTTTTTTTTTTTGTTTTTTTTTTCCGGGGAAATCAGTGAGGGAGAGAAAAGACTTGAATCATGATGTTATCATAATCTATGCTCAGCTGCTCCAGACACACGTTAAAGAAGGAGGCAGGATTTAAAGTCAATTTGTTCAAATGAATAGGCCGTCTGGACAGAAATGGTATTTGTTTGGTCGTCTGCTGTGAGGGTTGAGCTCATGATTGCTGCTGAAGTGAGCAATTGTAAATGTGTTTTCCTTTCAGTTTGCTTTATTACAAGCTCGGATTATATTTATTCAATTTGTGCATTCACTTTATTATCGATAAAAATTCTGAGACTTACAATATATTATCAAACTGTCTAATCGCTGATCAATAGTATATACTAAATGAATCTATACTAGAGATTGATTTGAGGTAGAATCATTTCATAACATGAGAAAAAAGAAAGGCACAATGTAGTAAATCAAAGTTTTTATGGCGAATTAGTCAAGATTTAACAACCGAAGAAACCAATCAGAAAAACTATTCCAGATGGAATGGATGTTTTGGATGGATGTACATAGCTTATGTCTTTTTTTGTATCTCTCCTTGTTTCACATCTCAGTGGTAATTCATTTTTTCCATGCCTGCAGCTATGTCTGCTTTATCACTCTAATCAATTCAGTACATAATTAATTTTTGATTAATTGATTTTAGAGTTTGCCTTATCAACAGTGTACCTGTAGTGATTTTAATTGCTTTTAATTGCATTGAAGTCTTTTTTAATTAGTCCCTTTCTTGCTTAAAAAGCAGGTGTCAAATTTAGGTTATGTAATAATAATAATAATAATAATAATAATAGGTATTATTATTATTATACCACATATAATAACAAAATAACAATAATAAAAAATATTATTCAGTTAAAAGTATATGTAAAAAATAATAAACAAGGAATTTAGTATTTCTTTAAAGATAAATAATAATTAATTAATTAATTAATTAATTGTTTTAGCTAGATACTGTATCTAGATCAATAGATATATAGAAAGATATATAGACAGATATTATGATATATTAGACATTATGTCATATATATATATATATATATATATATATGCTAAAAAAATAAATAATGCAGCAGAGAAAGACGTTAACGAAAAAACTCCTACCTCCTTTTTTGTAGAAGACCAGTTCTGTCTTGAACTCCCTCCTCTCGTCCAGTGCACCCTGGATCTGTGCCATCAGCCTGTCACTGGTCTCCGGCCCATAGAGGAAATGACATGCACAGCTCTTCTGCATCAGCTCTGCACGGGCATAACCAGTGAGCTCACAGAAGCCATCAGAACAGTAAACGATGGGGTAGAGAGACTGGACTTGCGCGTTCCCCAACACAAAGTTACTGTCTGTGAGAGAAAAACAAAAACAAAGACAATGACATAAGAGTCTGCTCATGACAAATGAGTTCCAGTGTTCAATATATTCTACAAAAGCCCTGAATGAAAGATGACTTTCTGACTTTACAGCAAAGTTTTAATATCTTTTGTTATTGCACACTCTTTAGAGGATCTTCAAGGGATTTTTAAAAGCTTTGTTTGATGGGGGATGTTATTTCAACTGAAATGGGAAGACAGGACAGCACTATTAAGTAGCCTCCCCCTTCGAAAACACTCAGTAGGGTTTCGTTTATATCACTCTGCCTAGTCAGAGAGCTAAAGTGCATCTGATTCATGACAGCCAGAGTCTATAATAACAAAGCTCAGTCTGTCTGACAATTTCTCCACTTTTAAATCCAGCATTCAGTGTAGAATTCAAATGGCCCAGATTGGTTCTATGGTCCTTGCTGACCTGTGTTATTGTTTAATAATATTGCTTAGCATTATTATTAGTAGGGCGACTCGGTGGTGCAATAGGTAGTGCTGTCGCCTCACAGCCAGAAGGTCGCTGGTTTGAGCTTCGGCTGGGTCAGTTGGCATTTCTGTGTGGAGTTTGCATATTCTCCCTGTGTTCACATGGGTTTCCTTCAGGTGCTCTGGTTTCCCCAACAGTCTAAAGACATGTGTTACAGGTGAATTGGGTAGGCTAAACTGTCTGTAGTATATGAGTGTGTATGGATGTTTCCCAGAGATGGGTTGCAGCTGGAAGGGCATCTGCTGTGTAAATCATTTGCTGGATAAGTTGGTGGTTCATTCCGCTGTGGCGACCTCAGATTAATAAAGGGACTAAGCAGAAAAGAAAATGAATGAATGAATTATTATTATTTCTTATAAGCAAGTGTTTAACAAGCATTGTATGAATACTCTGTTACATGTGAATGATTGCCAGATTTTAGCACGTCTATTGTTGGTTGTGATGTAAATGTGAATTCTGAAGTAAATCCACACTTGCAGAAAACAACAACACTACCACGCTCTCTGGCACTGTTATATTGTTGTTTGAGCTTGCCATTAATCTACACCTCCCTAAACACTTAGTATGCACGCACATGACATCATTTTCAAAGGCTCTTGTTTTCAGGTGTTTACATGAACAAAACAATAGTGGCGATTTCAGACTCAAAATGCATAAAAAGTTGATGTAAATGGACCTTTACAGTGGAAGTTAAAGGGATATTAGTAGATACTATTAGCAAGCATTTGATTGGTAAGAATATCTGATGACAAGTGTGCAGTGATTTCAAGGATTTTTGAATGGTGGAAGTGAGTAACTCTATTTTGAACACTAATATTCCAAATGTCAGTTTTGTCTTTATTTGAGATCATCTTAAGACAAACATATTGATAAAATACTGAAACCAATCAAAAAAGTTTGGATATCAGGATGACCTTTACCCTTCCTCTAGCCAAGAGGGAATCAGTGTCTGCAGCCATCAGATTAGGCTTCCCCTGCACACACAGCAGTTGTTACATTACACGTATCACAGGTTCATATGATCATCTAATCCTTTTGAGTGTTACAGTGAGGTTTGCTGACCGTAATGAAGCATGACATTCAGCTCAGCTTTAAATTCCCCCCTCTGGCTATTTGATAAACTAGAGCCCATTTAAACAACAACAACAACACTATTTCGGGGGTGCAAAACGCCATTGAAAACAGGTTTCAGTTGCTAAAAATTAAAGTTTCATTATCTAAACTTTAAAAAATTATAATTGTCATGCACATGCATACGATACAGGGCTGGACTGGGGCAAAAAAAAATCGGCCCTGGCATTTTGGGCCAGAGCGGCCCACTAAATTCAATCAAAATGCTATCTATCTATGCAAGTCCAATATTTTTATCAACTCATATTCTATAAAACACAAAAGCCATATATAGGAAATAAATAAATAAATAAATAAATAAATAAATAAATAAATAAATAAATACAAACTTTAATCTCTTTAATTAAATTTAATTTCTGTATACTGTACATAAAGATATTTGTTGAGTTCTAAAAAATACACTATTCATTCATTTATTTTTCTTCGCATAAGTCCCTTATTTATCAGGGGTTGCCGCAGTGGAATGAACTGCCAACTATTCCAGCATGTTTTATGCAGCAGATGCCTTTCCAGCCACAACCCAATATTGGAAATCACCCATACACACTCATTCACACACACTCATGCACTACAGCCAATTTAGCTTATTCAATACACTATTCACTCAGCCTATATTCAATAATAAACATAACACAAACTGCCTGCTAATGCATGGGTATATCTTCAAAGGGAACAGTGTTACATTTTAACCTCTTTCACCTCATCCTGCTTGCTGTTTCACTATCTAAACAATAAAAACATAATATAAGTCAAATTTGTTTCATTTTGATATTATGATTAACAGACACCAAACAGCCTCGTGTAGCTGCATATTTATATGAGCATCATCTTCACTCTGCATATTTATAACAAAACTTAAATATAACTGTCTCCTTTCATTTCCATTGAAAAGAATAAACTTTACCCTGTCTCTTTTGCAGAATATCAGTTTTAATAACCAATAATGGCCATTATAACAGTATACATACATTAAATTTAAACGATAAAGGTAAGCAATCAGTCAATGTGCAGAATCAGTGTATGTGGTTACATAAATTAATATATTAGCTTATCTTTGCACTCAGCCAAAACAGTTAACTGAGAACAAGTGATTCAAAAAACATAAGAATTGTTAGATAGAGACAACAAGATGGCTGCAGCTCCTGGCAGAGTGTGTGTGTGGTCACGTGATTTATGTTTTTAGCCATGTACTAGAATGAACAGAGAACTTTTCAGAACCGCTAAATGAAACGCCGGTGTATTTCCCGCGATTTCTCTGCGCCTCCCTTGCATTTCTTCTCTCTGACTCTTGACTATTTTGACAAATACACACAGACGACGCACGCTCACACAGAGTCCAAAATAGAAGTTTGTGATTGGGCAAGCCCAATGTAAATACTGAAAAGAGCCAATGGGCTGCAGAGTGTCACATGGGCCAGCCCGGTCTGTTTGTCCGGGAAAAAAGCATCTACTTTCAGAGAGTCACAGAGATCACAGCAGCATCAATTAATACGGCAGAAAAAAACGATAGGCTGCTAAGCCTTTTATGGGTCGATCAGATCATAAAACGATGATCAGCCCGGCCCAAAAAGTACGTCGGCCCACCGGGAAAGTGCCCGGTCTGCCAGATGGCCAGTCCGCCCCTGATATGATATATATTAAGATTTTACAATGCTATCTGTATGTGACACTTTTTCAAATTTTTAAGCACATGCCAAGTAAAATAACCTGAATATACAGTCATCCAAAATATAAATTTACTAGAAAATAACAAACCAAGTGGAAACAGATTATGGTACACAATACCCATATATACAGTGCTCAGCATATATATGTACACCCCTTACAAATCCCAGCAAAAATTGGTCCAACGACAACGTCATCTCCCCGTCCAAAAGGGGTCATGGCAGGACAGCACAAATGGTGCACGCATAGTCCGAAATCAACATCTTATCCCAAGCCAAATTTAGTTGCGGCTGGATGGCACAAATTTACAACATGTCATAAAATGCAGTAATAAACGCTTATATACATTTATACATGTTTATATTTAAATGGGGTTGCATGTATTTACAGTTTTATGTAAGTGTAGTTCAATATACTGTCGTGATAAGGTCCTCAAGTGACGTCCTTTATACATGCATTTATTGTATTGCATTTAAAAGTACACTTACATCTGGGTATATACAGCAGGAAATAATATATATGCATGCCTCAAGAGGATTTTAAGAGGTTGTGGACAGACTTTAGGTGTCTCAAGACCCATTAAAAACAAAGATAAAAAAAGATATATCTTTATGAAATACAGAAAACGCTTTTATTTACATCTTGTCAAATTAAAAATTACATTCATAAAGTGCCTTAAGTGATTGTATATAATGCAATTTCATTTTTTCTAATAACATTTTTTCATCAAACTCTAACATATCTCGAGATAGGAGTAACGTTATCTCACGAGATACTATCTCGAGCGTATCATTAAAATTCATATTTTTAATAGGAATTTAAATTTTTTTAAGGCTATACAATATTATATTTGTGCATATACATTAGATTGGTCAGTGCTGATGCCAAATCTAGAGCTTATTTAAAAAAAACAAAAGGTTACGATAACGGTTCAAAAACAATAACAACCAAATTTTTGTTATAGAAAAATTTTAAATACAAATTTAAAAAAGCGGAAAAATCAAGAGAAGTAATTTTTTTTTTAGATTTAGTTGAAATTTTGTAGGTTGTAATTAGTTTGCAATATTTAGATTGAATTAAATTTCATTACCTTTCAATTTCTAAATATGTTTGGTGACTAAAATATTATTTTAATAAATATATCTGCTTAATAAATTTGTTTTGTTTTAATTCACCAACACATTACTTATATCCACTAAAAAATTGAGAAAAATATTCATTTTCAAAATGGTGTGTAGTCATTAATGCTGAGCACTGAACAGTATGTATGTACTTATTTATTTATGTACATATGTATATGCATAGGTGGATGTAATTAAATCCCATAAAAACATTATTTTAGAGCAACTGCATAGTTACAAATCCAAATTAATAGGCCCGGAGCATAATATTTATTTATATATTCAGAGTTGTAATTAGCCTACAGTATATGTGTGCATTTGAATTTACTGAATAGCTTTACATAACTGATTTTCATTTCCTACAGTATATATTTAATGAAATACATTTGTATTATTCATTATAATAAATTTACAGACGGCCATAATGTGATTCATTTCACAATTCTGCATGTTTCAAACAGCCAAAAAGGGCTAGGAAAAAAAAGTGAATTAGATCTGAAGTTGTGAATGATGAAACAAGACCAAGCTCTGCATCTGAAGCCCAGTGTTATTCCACACATTTTCTTTTATAAATCCAG